CGCTCATGCGGCCCACGCGCTGCGCGCAGCCCCCCGCTCTGCGCCCTGCGCGGAGCCAGTGGTAGAGACACAGATTCTGCCCCCCGATTTTACGGGAACCTCTGGGAAGAAGACAGATTGGGCAACGAGGGGAAGGCAGCCTGAGAAAACTATATCGGGGCCGCTGGCTGGCGGAGAGAAAAGATAAGGTTTAAAAAAAAAATATTTTTTTTTTTGCGGTTTTGTGGTTTTGTTTTTTAATTTTGTTTCATATGCACTGAGATGCCTGGGTAGAGGAGGAGGGGAACGGCCCGGGGCAGAAAGGCCCCCTCCACGCGCCCCGGGTCTCTGCCGCCCCCCGTAGGTGGCCCCGGAGCCGGCCCCCACCCCGCCACCTCCCCCGGAAATGTCCGGCCTCTGTGACCTTCTCGCTCAGCCTGGAGCAGGGAGAGCGGCTCAAAGGCCAAGGCTGTGGCCCCACTGATGCAGTCGGAGGAGGGAGCCAGTGGAAATTCGTGACTAAAATAAAGCCCGGCGGGGATTTCACTGACCTCTGCGCTGCCCCGCCCCGCCCCGCCACCCGCCGGGGAGTTGAGAGATGACTGTCAGCCTTTCCCACCGCCTGGGTCAGTCACCCCGCCGCCGAGTGACCTGGCTGCGGGGAAGGACTGAAAAAAAAAAAAAGGGGGTCACTGCTGGGATTGGGCGCAGATGCGCTTCGGGTGCGGGGGCGCGGGCGGTGGTCAGTCTTGGCAGTGACCTTGACACCCCAGAGAGCTGGGCTTCACACCTTGACCGAGCTGGGAGTGGATTTCCTTCGGGCCGCTTTGGAGAGCTCCCACTTCCTGTTTATGTTTCACGAGCGTCAAGCTCATTAGCAAGTGTGAGAAATGCCTGCTTTTCTAACTGCTGACTGGCGCGGCCTCGCCGGGGCTCAGCGCTCCCTCCCTCCCTCCCTCCCTCCCTGTGCTTCTGCTGGCTGTTGTCACCGACCACCTCTCCCGAGGGAACGCCTGCACCGCCGCTTCCCGCCGGGGGGCGCGCAGCAGAACCGCAGGCCAAGGAGGCGACGGGAGCCGGTCCTGCGTTTGTGCTTACAATCTAGGGTGACCTTCTCCATTGTGCTACTTTGCTAAGGGCGAAGAGTTGTCACGACTGCGTCAGAACCACAATTCCACCAGGAAATAAGCGCTGTGGGGAGGAAGGAACACATGTCCCCTCAGCTGTCCCCTGTCCGCCCTCCCCACCCCGTGCCAGGAGTGAACCCAGACTTCTCCGCTTCCGTGGTTCAGGGCTCATGACAGTATCTTTCTTAGAACGGGTCGAAGTTATCAATGCTTCTTGCCATTACCTGACCTACAATCGAAAATAGCAAAATATATGCATTTCCTACCTTTTTATTTGTGCCAACTACTCTCAAGCTTCAAGCATTTTCCCCACCGTACCCAAGTTCTATCCTATCCTGATTGTATTATCCTCATGTTTTCCTATCTCAATAGCTTATGATTATTTTTCTTAAACAAAGTAATTCCTTCCCGGCACGCATCTTTCCATCCTGAAGAATCTCAATATTTGTTTGTCATTTTTTTTATAGATATTTGTTTAGTGCTTATGGTGTGCTAGTTTTCAGACTATACATAAAAATTTTCTATGTTGCTTCATTTACTCCTCTCCATCACCTTATAAGGCTCGTCTTTACATTTCTATCACACAGATGAAGAGCCACCGTGTGTGCCTAAGTCCTAGGGACATAGAATGTGTCTTTTTGGGCAAATTGAGGCTTAGGGAGGTTAAATACCCAGCCCCAGGTTGTACAGTCTGGAATTAGAACTGGAACTAGACCCCAGGCTTGTTGGGCTCCAAAGCCTGTGCCCTGAATCGCTATACTTACGGCTGTCTGGTACGGTTGTTCAGGTTGTGCACTGCTCAACGTTGGGCGGAGGTGGGGGGGAAGCCATCCGCGTTGCAGATGCTGTGAGAGCGCCCTCTGGAGTTGTGCAATATAGCACTGAGCAGCCGCGCTGGGCAATCCTGGCGTTTTATAGCCCTCCCTCTGTCTTGTGTCTTACAGGTGTGGAGAGAGACTAATTTTGTAGCAGGCAAGGACAGATTTTTCTTTTCTTTCCTAGGAGGGCTCGGCATTTCGGAGGGCGGATGCTGTGTATTGGGTAGTCCATACTGTTGCTGTTATAGCCCTCGACGTGTACCCACACTTCTCGCTCAGATATCATTTTTTGCCTGTTTAATGGAACCTCGACAATTTTTTAACCCCTTCATTTCCTAAAGGTTTTGTCAATGAACTCAGAGAATGTAGCTCATTCTGTATACCCCGATCAGACACTGTTGTGATAATTCTTGTTATTATTTCGTCTCTCTATTTAGAGTTTGCTGAAATGGCTAATACTGGTTCAATTAGCACGTGGTAATGAAGATTTATTGATTATAAAACAGGGTTCTTGAGAGGAGGAATTTAAGTGCTGAGAAATATTTTGGATTTTCAACTACTGCTAGTAGTAATCCGGTGAACTTTTAAAAAATTTTTATAAATAACATTGTGTATCCTAGTGCATTTATCCCAGCTATTAGAATTCATGGGGCTGCTTTCTATGTATAGTTCTAAAATATTTTATTTTGACATAGCTTTAGAGAATTTGATTTCGAAGTCAAGATTAGTTCCTTTAAAATCTTATCTATAGAATAGTTGAATTGGGAAAATCATTTCCCTTTAAAATAGGTCTCCAGAAAAGACACATGAATAAACATAGCTTAATATTGTTAAATATATTATAAAACCCTCCGAAATACAAATATAACTTTTACATTCATTGGCTGCATATCTATCCCTAGTAAAATGAGAAAGAGCCTCAAAGTTTTGTATCACAGCTCACAGTAAGAAAGACATGCTATTTCACACGCATGCGCGCGCACACACACACACACACACACACACACACACACACACCCTTAAGATTATTTAAGCATAGGACAGAGAAAGCTTTGTTGGGCCGTAGCAATGATCAATCACTACCCTCTCTTTATACTCCTGAGTAACCATTGATCACTTAAAAAAAAAAGTTAAGCCACTTAGGAAGAAGTGAATACAATGTATTTCAGGCAAAAATTTCACTAAACAATATTTCCCCTTGATATATTCTGATATTTTCTAGTCTAGTTGAATGAATTTTATTAAAAAAAAATTCTAGTCTCGACTTACTGAATTGATGTCACACTCCCCAGTGAATCCTGACCTGTAATTTGAAAATATGCTCTCCCCGAGAGAGTGTTGTGCTTTTGGCTTGTCTCCGCCAGCAAGAAATCGGTGGCATCTGCACACTAGAAGGTCTTCCGAAGCGCTTGTAAAGGCTGCTGGTCCTGGTCAAATTCACTGGTACAGAAATCTCCATTCGGCAGACAACACTCAGTTGTAGGGGTAAACTATTTAGAGTTGTGTCGACGTGTGTGACGTTACGTGTTGGCAATGTATCTTCCTCTAGTTGAGGACATTTTCTTCTATTTCTGGTTTGCTGAGAGGGTTCATCATGAAAGGTGTTGAATTTATCAAATGTTTTTTCTCTGCATCCAACGAGACCATCATATTTTTTCTCTTCCATTCTGGTAATATTATGAATTACAACTTTTTGATTGTTAAACCAGCCTTGAATTCCTGAGATGAGCCTATCTTGATCATA